TTAGTTATTATTATCGTCATAATTATTGTTTTTATTATTATCTTTGTTATTGNTAGTATTATTTTATTCGATAACATTATTACTTTTAGTGTTGTTTTAAGCATTGTCAATATAATCATCAACATGATTATCATCATCATCATCATCGTCATAATCATTATCATTATCATCATCATTATCATTATTATCATCATCATCATTATTATCACAATTATTGTCATTGTTATCATCAGTCTTATAATTCTAATTATAAATATTGTTATTTTATTCGATAACATTATCACTTTCAGTGTTGTTTTAAGCATCGTCAATATAATCATCATCATCACCATCATTATCCTCATTATTATCATTATAATCATTATCATAATCATCATAGTCAAAATGATTATTATCTTCATTATTATTATCAGTCTAATCATGACTATTATCATTATCATTATCATTATCATAATCATTAAAATGATCATGTTTATCATCATCATTATTATTTAATAATGATTATTATCATCATCTTTATTATTAACATCATCACCATCATCAACATTACCATATACATCATCATTATAATTATCATTTTCATCAATATCATTATTATCATCAATACGATTATTGTTCCTATTGTAGTTATTATTATCATTAACAACATCGGCATTCTCACTGTCATCATTATCATTACGATCATCAGCACTATCATTATTATTGTCGATGTCTCCATCATCATCATTATCATCATAATTAACAACATCGTTATCATCATAACCAACATTATCATTATTATCATTTTCGTTATCATTATCATCGTAACTGTCATTAACATTATCATTGCTACAATTACAGTCATTATCTTCCTCATTGCTATCATAACGTTATCGTTATAATCTTAGTTGACACTAACATTATTATTATCATTACCATCATGGTCACGATTATCATCATTATTTTAACTATTATTAACATCATTATTATTTTCATCAATATTATAACAAAAACATTATTATAATAATTATTATCAATATAATTATCATTATTATCATTATCATCGTGTTATTATCATCGTCACTATTATAGTCTTAACGATCAATATAGTTTTATTATTTAAATATTTTTATAATAAAAATCATCATTGATTTATCATCATCGCCGTTATTATAATTATCTTCGTCATCTTAATCGTTATTATCATTATTAACAACGTCATCTTTATCATAATAATTATCATCATCATCGACATCATCATACACAGTATCCTTATCAACATCATCATAATTCTTATTACCAGTATTATCATTGTTATCCTCAGTATCTTAATTGACATCATCATTATCATCATCATTATCATTATTAACATCATTAGTATAACTATAAACATCATTGTTATTATCGTCCTTATTATCATCGTTATAACCATTATTATCATCTTTATTTTCATCATCACAATCATCATTATCTTAATCATTATTATTATAATCATTATGATTAATATCATCGACATCATCATCATTACCGTGAAAATTATTATTATTATTATTACTATCCTTACTATTATCATTTATATTATTTTAATAACCATCATTATCATTATCAGTATCATTATAAAAATTAAAACTATCGTTATCATTATTATTATTATCATTAACATTAACATTAAGACAATTAACATCATTAGCTTCATCATCCTTATAACTGTCGTATTTTATATTATTTTTACCATTTTAATAATCTCTATTATCGTTATTGTCATCATTATTATTACAGTCATTATCATTATGATCAGATTGTCATCGACATCATTATCATTATCATTATTATTATCCCCATTATCACCACCATCATAGTTGTCAACATCATCTTTTTCGTATTTATCATTATCATTATCATTATCATCATCATCATTATCATTATCATCCTAATCATCATTAACATCATTATTATCATCATCATAAACAACCCTATCATTATTATCATCAGCATCATCATAAGAATCGACATTACCATCATCATCATAATCATCATTATCATCATCATTATCATCATCATGATTATCATCGACATTATCATTATTATCATCGCCATCGTGATTAGGATAGTGATGATGATAATAACGATATCTAAATTAATAATGATAAGTTTGGTCATAATAATAATAATGTTAATAATTATTATAATGGTAATATTAATAAGGATAATTATAATAATAGTGATGTCGACGACGATGATTGTAATGATAATGATGATGATAATGATGATGATAATAATGATGATGATGATGA